GCGCACCGGTCATCCCTATATAGGATCCGAACCCGCGGCGGGAGTGCCGCACTCTCCCGAGCGCGCCACGGGCTCGGCCCAGATCTTGTAAATTGATCTCATTTTACAGTTGAAAAATTGAGCTTTAAAAACCTCAAGTGATTTGTTTCAGATTTTAACAGACACTAGATTGGAACCCAGGTCTTCTACTCTGGAGCCTCATGCTCCAGATACTTTAGTGATAGTAAATAGGTGGTGGCATATCTGTCCTCCTCCCTGCTCTAGTAAATTTTACTAACCAACAAGAGTGTTATTTCTCAAGATATTGCTTCAGCAGGAATTAGTAGTTCATCAAAGCAAGCACATTAGTTGAAACCAATTTTTTATTTCTGTATTACATCATACAAATTATCTTTAGATGAGTCTTGTTAAAGCTAACGTGGCTATATTTGATTCCCGATTAATTTGGGTATAGGTGATTAATATATTTGGTGTGTACAACATTTTAATATATTTCAAAAAGTGTTTTTAGGAAAATAGGACACATGCTTTAAGAAAACTCAACAAAAAAGAATTTCTAAAAATAGTTAAATTAACAAATTTAAGTCTTTTTTTAAACCTATATTTTTCTAACTATTTTATATAATAAAAATATGATTACCTTATAATTTTAGTGATTTATATTTTAGAAAAGTGAGCAGTGTCTGGAATTCTGTATGGCTTGTCTAGTCTCTGAGTTATTGTGCAAATTCTACTTATTGTGCCAGATTTGGGGCTGTTGTCTTTTGTTCATAATTGTTTTGCCATGATTTCTCTAGCCTTATAAGTTATTTCTTTAACAGATGAAAAAATTGAAAGAATTACGTTCCATGTTGATGGAACAGGATCCTGATGTGGCTGTTACTGTTCGAAAGCTGGTGATTGTTTCTCTGATGGAGTTATTTAAAGACATTACTCCTTCATATAAAATCCGGCCCCTAACAGAAGCAGAAAAGTCTACCAAGGTAATACTAGGTATAATTACTATATAAGATAAGCTGAAAATTTTGGAGATTGAGAGATGAGAGAAACAGCAGGAGTCTTTTCTTTTTTTTTCTTTTTCTTTTTTTTTTTTTTAGCAACATGGCATATACTAGGCACTCAGGTGTTCTGCTAATTTTTGGATTTTGATATTTTGATTTTAAAAAACGATCTGTTTGGTCTTTTCAGATTCGCAAAGAAACCCAAAAGTTAAGAGAATTTGAAGAAGGCCTGGTTAGCCAATATAAATTTTATTTGGAAAATCTGGAGCAAATGGTCAAAGGTATATTAAACATATCTTAAAAGTATATAACTGCGGGGCTGGCCTGGTGGCGCACTGGATAGTGCGCCGCTTGGGAAGTGCGGCGGCGCTCCCGCCCGAGGGTTCGGATCCCACATACAGACCGGTTCCCGCTCACTGGCTGAGCGAGGCGCGGGAGCAACACCGAGGGTTGCAATCCCGTTGCCGGTCCCCGGCCCGGTACGGGGGCAACACTGAGGGTTGCGATCCGTTGCTGGACACGGAAAAAGACAAAAGACAAAAAAAAAAAAAAAAAAGTATATAACTGGGGGCTGGCTGGTTAGCTCAGTTGGTTAGAGTGTGGTGTTATAACACCAAGGTCAAGGGTT